TATTGTAGTACATTTTATCAATAAAAGTTTACACTATAGCGTAAGATTTTTATCTAATACACAAGATATAAATTATATAAATAAATGAAAAAAATTTATTTTTTCGGGTTTGAAAAAGAGGACCAAAAATAGAAAAAAAAAAAATTTTCTGAGTTTTAAAAAAAAAACTGAAAATAAAAAAAAATAAAAAAAAAGGTAACCGGCAACATGATATAGTTGATATACTGTAGCTGATCGCATCATCCTTGGGGAATAAACAATTAGTATCATAATGAAAAAAAAAAAATCCGAGTCAAACAATTGTATTGTCAAACAATTGTATTATGCAAGATACTAACTATCTTATTATTAGTCACTGTGTATTCGAAAAAGTATTTATATACCCTCAATACCCCTCTTTTTTTTTCATCGTCTTTTTTTTAGTCAATTAACAATATTGTATATACACAATATATACTTTTTTCGTCTTCTTTTTTCGAGGTCTATCTTTTCTCTGCCTAGGCTTCTCTTTATTAGGTCTTCTATCTATTAGGACCTTTTCTTTACGTCTTCCTTTAGAGTGTGGGAGTGTGGGTTGGGTTTATGTGTGGTGTTTTTATAATCTTTTTTTCGTCTTTTTTTTAGGTCTATCTTCTCTCTGTCTAGGTCTTTTTTTAGACCCCTTTTTTTCGTTTCATCATCTTTTTTTTTCACTTCGTCATCTTTTTTTTTGCTTTATCATCTTTTTTTTTCGCTTTGTCATCTTTTTTCTTTCGTTTCGTCATCTTTTTTTTCGTCATTTTTTTTTTTTCATCTCTTTTTTTAGGTCTATCTTCTCTCTGTTTAGGTCTTCTCTTTATTAGGTTTTCTTTTGGCCCTTTTCTTCACTTCTTCCTTAGGTATGTGGGTTGAGTGAGTGTGGGTTTGTGTGTGGGAGTGTGGGAGTGTTGGTTTGTGTATGTGGTGTTTCATTTCATTTTTTTTTTGTCATCTTTTTTTTAGGTTTATCTTCTTCCGTCTAGAACTTCTTTATTAGATCTTCTTTTAGGCCCTTTTTTTTACATCTCTCTTTTAGGTATGTGGGTTGGGAGTATGGGAGTGTGGGTTGGGAGTGCGGATTGGGAGTGTGGGAGTGTGGGTTGGGAGTGCGTGTGGTTTGGGAGTGTGAAAGTGTGGGTTAGGAGTGCGTGTGGGTTGGGAGTGTGAAAGTGTGGGAGTGTGGGTTGGGAGTGTTGGNGGAGTGGGAGTGCGGGTTGGGAGTGTGGGAGTGTGGGTTTGTGTGTGGGTTTGTGTATGTGGTGTTTCATTTTATTTTTTTTTTCGTCATCTTTTTTTTAGGTTTATCTTCTTCCGTCTAGAACTTCTCTTTATTAGATCTTCTTTTAGGCCCTTTTCTTTACATCTCTCTTTAGGTATGTGGGTTGGGAGTGTGTGAGTGGTGGAGTGTGTGTGTGTTATGGTATTTTAACTTATTTTTTTCGTCTTCTTTTTTTAGGTCTATCTTCTCTCTGTCTAGGTCTTCTCTTTATTAGGTCTTTTTCTTTTAGACCCCTTTCTTTACGTCTTATTACCGATGCATAAATCGATTTATAATATTTTTTCTTTCTTGAACATAAAATCTGATGGTATTTTTTGTTTATAAGCACATATAATTAATTTTACATTTTATTATCTTTTTTTTTTTTGCTTTACGTCAGAATTTAATGTTTAAATATTTGATTTTATGAATTTTGAAAAATAACAATATGTTTTAATACTTTTAAATTTTTAATTGAACGTCAAATTTGTATTTACTATTTATTAATATTGTTTCGTTAATACTTATAAGAAATTTGAATGAGTAATTTTTTGGATGAAGTGAACAAGATATATAAGTTTTCTATAAATTTAATTTTAAATATTTTTTATAATATTGATTATATTATAGTCTTTGATTTAAATCAATTTTTAAAATTATTTGTGATAAATATGTTAATAGATAAGTAAATACAGAATATAAATAATGTAAAAAAGTTATTTGAATGAAATTATACAAACTGGACCAGCGATAATAAAGATTAATTCAAAAATTAATTGATCATAAAGATATACAATTAAATGAATCAATGGCTTTAAAATGTTTAAATATTGAATATTGTTTCATATGATGCCCGTGTTTTAGTTAATTAAAATATTTTATCAAAATCTATAATATACTAAAAAAATTACCTAATGTCTAGCACATGATTTGTCTGCGCTTGAACTATTCGTATTCATGTTGCTTACTAATATTTTAAATTATTTTTTAATTTCCGGTAATTGAAGTTTTGTTAATATTAATAAGTAATAGACAATTAACTTATTAAGTTAATAAATTGTAAAATTTTTAAAATTAATATCACTCTTCTTTTACGATTAGTATTTTTTATTTTTTAAACAATTTATTTTTTTTTTAACTATAGATCATTTAATAATTTTTTTTTTATTTTTTTTTTATTAGTAACTTTTTATTATTTTTTTTAATAGATCGTTTAGTTATTTTATTATTTTTTTTTTTTAACAACAGAATCATTTAGTAATTTTCATTTATTTTAATAGAAGTTTTTATTTTTTTTTTTATTTTTTTTTTAGGATTTTTTTTCAATTTAGAAATTTTTTTTCCAACAATAGATAAGAAAAAAAGAAAAAAAATCAATTAAAATATTTTTTAAAAAATAAATAAAAACAATTTTCAGAGCTTTCGAAACTTACTGATCAGAGTCCAATCAGACTTTGTCCTTTCTTTATGTTTGGTAATTGACATTTACTAATATTAATTAGTAATAGTTAGTTCCCGGTTATAAAAAAAAATTTACTTTTCTTTCTTTTGCTTCCTGGTAACTGGCGTCATTCTAATATTATTAAGTAATAGTTCTATCGATTTTTTTTAGTAATAATCAGATATATAGTAATAATTAGTGTTTTTTAAAAAATAAATATAAACTAACAATTAAAAATTACTATTATCACAGAATTGCCCATTCAACCTTGCTATTTGAGCTAGTATAATGAAATTTATTATATTATTAATTATAATAATTATTATTAAATAACAATGATTAGAAAAAAATATAGTAAATCTACAGTTATGTATTAAAACAACATTTATTTGTAAAGTAAAAATTCATTTCTCTCCTAAATCTTAATTATTTAATAATTATATGTTTAAGTAAAATATATTATAATTAACATCAAAATAGAAATCAAAATAAAAATCAATATATCGCAAAATAAAACAAAATAATTTGCACCCATTAATAATAAATAATATTTAAATATTTAAATAGTGATTTAACTAAAGTACTTTTTTTTTTAATCATATTAAATAAAAAAAAATAGTAAGAAAATATTAATATTAATTTAATTTAATAATTAATAATCATATTGTACCAATTTATTAATCCGGGTTGATCATTTTATTTATTACAAAACAATCTTTTATTATTTTATTTATTATTTAAATAAAAACATAGTATATCACTAGAATTTTCATCATCCAAAATTAGCTTAATTTCCAAAAACAGATTATACATTTTTTTATTATTTATTTTTATTATTAATCAACTAAATAATAATGAAAATATAATTATTGTTTTGTTTTTTTTATTTATATTATACTACTAATAATTTATTAATAATCATAAATTAATTAAATAATAAAATTTATTATTATTTAATATTTTTTTAATTAAATAGTAAAATCCGCACGTATATAAACAACCTTTATTCACAAAAAAAAATTGCAAATCAGATTATAAAACATATTATAAAACATATTATAAAACAGAATAGAAAACATAATAGAAAACATATATAATATATAATATATAATGAAATAATTTCATATAACAAATAATAAAATAGTATAATATTAAGAAATAAACTTTTATGTTGAAATAATCCTTTGTATTTATCCACTAACTCATAAAAAAATGATACCCTATTACAAGACAATCATTTGACGAATTTAATTCGCCTATTACAGATACCCCAATAAAGGGAGTTGGCTTGAATATATATCATATTCACAATTGAGTAATTTTTTTATCTTTGTGATTTATATATGTTATATTTTTCATCTTTTTTTATTTTTTTTTCATATTCAAAGATTCTTTTTTTAAAAAAAATTATATATATAGAATAAATAATGCAATTTTCATTCATGAATAAACAACTTCATCTAAATTTAATTGGAAATCTCTTTTTACATTTTTTACATTTCCAATTTTAAAAAAAAAGATTCTCTGAAGTTCCTTATGGATATCACTTAAGATTTTTATATTTTAAATTTTCAAATATTAGTTTCTGTTAAGCTTCAACATTTTTTTTAAAAAAAAAGACAATGGAAAGTAATAAGCCTTCGTAAATTTATATTTAGCGCGCTTGCGCACTTTGGCGATTTGTATAACAATTTCTGCATGCGCTGATCAATTGGTATTATTCCGATTGGTCACTTTTTTTTGAATGATCACGTTAATAATTGGCATAGGTAACCAATCAGTTTACCGTAAACACGACTTTTTGTACTCTAACTTTTTATGTTGCGCTAATTATTTTAATGAAACAAACAATGATTATTCGAAATTTAATTTTATTAAATTGTTTCACTGCAATAAACTTGCGTAACTTGTGTAACTTGCGTAACATTAAAAAATAAAATTATAATTTTTGATATATAGAAAAGAGTTAACGGTTAAACGATTTTTTATAATACAAAAAAAAAATAAATAGATGAATAAATAAAATAGGTAAGAATTACAGTGCTGACAAACAAGTCAATTTTCGAACATTGCATCACACCTAAAGAACTCAAATTTTATAGGATAATTTCAGCAGCTATTATTGATGGAATTTCTATATAAGTTTAATACGTAAAAATTTCATGTGAAAAAAACTTAGTTTTATAGCACCAATATTATGGTCTGATAGATAGTTTTACACGTTATAATTCCATAAAGCGTAGCATATTTAGGGTAAGATATTTATCATAATTATTAATACTATTTTGTTTTATTTAATAAAGAAAATATCATACATACATAAATATATTAAAATTATTTCCTAAATAAATTTTCTGTTCATAAAATAATTATATATTTAAACTAATTATCCCGCTTATCACATCAAAACACAAATTGAATGTATGATTATATTCATCATTTAATAATTATTTCTAAAATTCAATGTAAGCATCAGATCTTCTTTGAATCCACTCAAAATCTTCAAATGCAGAACCATGTGAATCAACATAATATCTTTTAATCATTTCTTTCACTTTATATTCTTTAATTAAATTTTCTAATTGTTGTAATTCTTGTTGTTTTTGTTTTCGTTGTTCAGCTCTTGTAAAACAATACATTGGAATAATATGTAAAAACATTGGATTTCTATTTTTCCAATTATCAAAAAATAATTTTAAAGTTTCCAAAGAAATTATTCTATTAGAAGAAAATTTAAATTTAATTAAACTAATTGGTGAAGATTTTGATAATATTTTAAATAATTTATCCCAATCAAATTTAATAATATGATCATATATATCAACAACTAATCCATTTAAAAGTTGACAATTATTTAATAAATTTTCAAATTCTATAATATTTCTAACAGATAATGATAATTTAAGATATTTAAGATTTGGACAATTATGATAAATTGTTGGAATAAGTTTTTTATCATTAATACCTTCATAAAGTATACTAATTTCAGTAAGGTAACCTTTTGTATTTTCAATTATATTTGATAAAATTCTAGATGGAACTTTTTGAGTTCTTAAAAATTTTAATAATGGTAAAGATAATTTTTCTAAATGATTCCAATTTATATCTCTCACTAAACTTAAATTTATATCTAAACTTATTAAATTTACAAGATATGAAAGAATTTCTGTATTAGGTTTCCAATCAATTCTTAAATATTGTATAGTATTAGCATGTTTAATTAATGATTCTTCAAGTGGTCTACTAAAAGATTCATCTCTTAAATTTATTGTATGATCAATAAAATGAACTTCCTTTAAATTATTTTGTGCTTCAATTAATTTAATTATTCCAGAATTAATACTATACATAATATCAAATATTAATTTTTTAATAGATTTACTTATCCCTGCTAAACCTTCTAAAATATATTTATTGGTATTTGCATAACAACGAAATGATTCAAGTTTTGAAAAACAATGTTCAGCCCCTGAAATACGATGTAATTGATAATCAAATTGTTGAGGAAAACAAAGACGTAAAAATTTTGTATTTCTATTATTATTAATAAATAAATTAAATATTTCATTTCTTATAATAGGTATTTCAGTTTTATCAAAATTTTTAATATTTTTTATTGAAACTATCATACTTTTTAAAAGATGTATATTTAAATATCTCCAATAACTTATATAATTAAATAATAAAGGATGTTTATATGATTCAATTATATCTTTAAAAAGATCGATTTCTTGTTTCTTTAAAAAATTTCTTGATTCATTTGATAAATGTAAAATTATTATATTGAATAATAAATTCTTTGAATTATCATTTAAAAGATTTTGTCCAGGATTTTTCCATAAAATTGGTACCGTCATCTTACACCAAGTTTTATTAACTAAAATACATGAATGAAGTGATATTCTATCATATTTTAGTTCTTCTAATATTAATCGAAGTACGTCTTCAACTAGTGTTGACATTTTTTTTTTTCTTTTTTTTTTCTTAAAAAAAGACAAAAAAGGGTTTGCCAAGCTATTAAAAAATCAATAACTTTTTTATTTATATTTAATATAGTTGGCGTATTTGGTGTAATAAATACACAACAGATCTGCGTTCAATGAATTTTTGTTTTAGTAACAAAATGAGCTTTTTCCAAAAATTTCTGATTGGTTACGATCTTACCTGCATGGAGATTTACGAGAATCACATGCTTTGACGATCACATGGTTGATCGATAGGCTTTTTTTATTTTCTAAAAAAAAAAAATATATAAACATTTAAAAAATTATGTGGTTCAAAATGAAAATAAATTTAATACGTTCTTTACTGCCTTTATATCTTGCTAGTATCATAACTTTGAAACTTTTGATATTATTCTATTTCTTTAAACCATAAATAAAAGTAAGAATAATATCTTACAATAGATACATCAATGATGAATGATCGTCTATATGTTTGATTATAATTTCCCTTTTTGTTTTAAAATAAGGTTACACATATACGGGATAACTGAATAAGCTTTTGTAATATAAAATAATATGTGACACTATACATGTAGAACAATAATAAACCATATCTGAACAACAATAAACAATATAAGCGCATAATACTGTGTCTTGTAAACTATGAGGTATATAAAACAATATCATATATATTCAATAATCTTTTAAATTGAAATAAAAGAAAAATTTTAAAATACATACAGTAAAAGTATATAGAATTTAAATGTATATATATATATAAAATATATTCATGCTGTACGTGAATCAAAATTAATAAAGGAATCCCGCTCAATCCAAATAAAGAAACTGGAACCTTATAAAGCACGTTGAAATAAAACACTAGACATAACAAAATTATTCATGGGCAAATTAAATGTAAAAATTATACTTTATTAAAGAATGTTTTTTGTCGTTATTTGAAGTTCCGTATGCTCAAATTATCAAACTTCACGGAAAATGAGATAATGTAATAATTTAATCAAAAATTCCAAAATCTATATCATCATAAGAATACGCATAGAAACAACCATCACCAATGAAATATTTTTTAATTATTCCTTTCGTTTTATATTTTCGAATAAATCTTTTAATTGTCGCTTCGTCTCCATTTTAAAAAAATAATAAGAGCAACCTATTTTTAACAATAAAGGATTCCTATCTTCCCAATTATCAAAGAAAAATTTTATATCTTCCAATTTAATTAACTTTTGAGAAGAAAATATAAATTTAAATAAACCAACCGGTGATGATCTGAAATAATTTAACCCAACTAATTTCATTATCATCACGTAGTGTGTTGATAGTTAATCTATTTAAAGTTGACAATTAATTAGTATATTCTCAAATTCTGAGATAAGTATATTAATGTTGCTAACCAATTAAAGTTTAAGAAATCTAAGATTTGGACAATTTTGATAAATTACTTGTATAAGTCTTTTATTATTAGCATCATCACAAAGTATGCTAATTTCAGAAAGATTTCCTACTGTATTTTTAATTTAAGTTCACTGAAACGTCAGATACAACTTGATAAGCTTTTAGAATTTTCAAATTAGGTAATGATAAACTCTCATTATTGTACGCGTGCTAAGGCACTCTAACTAAATTTACAAAATATGAAAAAATCTCGTAATAGGCTCCCAACAAATTTCCAAATATTGGATTGTATCTGCATTTTTAATTATTAATCCTTCAGGTGATTTGTAAATGACTTATTTAATCTTGGTATATTAATGAAACTAACGTCATTAAGATTTTTTTGTACTACAAATAATTTAATGAACCCAGAAATATATTTAGCATCAAAACCAGAATTTTTTAATTGATTTGCATATTCTAGCCAATCCTTTTAAAATACCTTGATTTGCAATGAAAAGATTCTAGTAATGATCATCTCCTGAAATATGATATGTATGATTGACAATTTTGTTGAATAGAAAAATGAATAAAGCTTATATTATAACTTTAAATTACATTAGGCACGATCCATTATGAAGAAATTACTCTCTAAAAAAATGTAAATTTAAATATTTCCAAAAATTAATATAATTAAATAAAGGGCGTTGAGATGTTTCTAAAATAAGGTTATTAATTTCCTTATTCTTCAAAATATCTCTTGATTCTTTTGATAAATGTAAAAGTATTACGTTAAACAGTCTAGTCACTGATTCTTTAGATTGAATAAATTGCTCAGGATTTTTCATAAAATCGGCACCGTTACTATACACCAAGCTCTAATGAATAGAGGATTTTTATTTATTAATTCTTCAAATATTAGGAAAAGTACATCGTTGTTAAGCCGCACCATTTTTTTTTTTTTTTTAAAGGCGTTTTTTGTGTAACAAATATTACCGTATTTTTTTTGCGGGCCATAGTACCCCGAGTATGATACAAATCTTACCCGCCCTAGCAACTAGAGCAAAAAAGGCCTAAAGAAGATAAGCCACGTGGAGTACTGATATTTATATTATTTATATTAAATACTGTACTTTGTATTACTTTACTTGCGCAACATTAATAAAAGACATTATTATATTTGTCTCTCCTTTACTCATTGATTTTCTCGTAAACTCATTATTTAGGAGGATTGACCCTTTTACTCCCTCTATTGTGCGAATTTTTATTATTAATGGAAGACGTTAAAAACTTGTATAATAATTGAAGTTTTATACTTGCAACACCTAGAATGTTTATTACAGTATATTATTTAAATTATTTAGATAATAAGGTTGTTAGAAAATGAGAGTTGTTTTTTGCAAGGTATTATACATGTGGCCAAAATACGGTACATGACTACATATGCATCACGACATCAATTTATAATCGGAAAACATAGTAAATTTGAATAAAGGAAATTAATCTGCCAAAAGAAAAAAATAAACTTGTTTCCATAACTTATGCAATCCCCCAAAATGAAGTGCCGTCTGAACTATTGATCAACCTTTGGATAATAGGTGTAAGAAATTCGGTGCGTATTACTCTTTCATCCAACGATGCTGTACGTAAATATTGTCGCCTACAGAATGGTACAGGCATTTAAAAGTCCGGTATTGTTTGTAAAAAAATTTCATTATTAATTGTTAGCGGGATAGATCGTCTCCGCACGTGAAGAGATGGACTTGTTGCTTCTGAAGAATTGTCTGGAGGAGGTGTTCGTCTTAAAAATACGCCTGTTCTTGAAAGGAATTCTTGGTCTTTATCTGAAATTCCAAAGGTCGTTGATGATGAAAGTTGAAAAAGTTACGTTTCTTTTAAACGTCAAATTTTTTCTTTTTATTATATACATATTTTCTTTCGCCTCAAATCACGTGATCAATATATAAGCTTCCGGATGAGATACGATACAATTGAAATTTAGATAATATTGCGATGAAAGAGATACAATATCATCAAATCACATTCATTAATAAATAAACTCGAGTCTCGATATCTCATTTCCTACGACATGATATTTTAATACTTTTACTATCTGTTATAGGAAAAATCGTTCGTTGAGTTATAAAAAAAAAAAAATTCGAATGAAATAATAGAATTATCAATTCCTTAACTCTTCAAATCATCTCTTGATTTTTTTGACAAACTAAAAGTATTGCATTAAATAAAATTTTATGCGTTATGGTTTTGAATAATATTGTTTAGCGCTTCAATAAAATCGACACGGCAATTCAAGACAGCATAAAGTGTGTATAACTAATAACAAAATGTGTCGGACACAAAATAAAATCAACAGATATCAAAAATTATATCCGTAGAACATACATAAAAAACATATAATAAAATTTTTTTTAATAATATGCTCAACGTTAAGGATGTTGAAGAAAAGATTTTATTTACATAACTTTCCTACATTTTTCATACCTTATATATAAAAAAAAATTTCTATTTGACTATATGAAAAGTAAATATACTTGACTAAATATCATAAATACAAAATGTTCTTTATATTAGTCAAAAATGTCAAAAAAATATATATATATATTATATATAATACTATTAGAATATTAAAACCTCATCAATGTAATATTTCTTAATTACGCCAATTTTTTTATAATGTTCTATTATATCTTCTAATTTCTGATGTTGCTGCTGATGTAATTGCTCCATATTCTTATTTTTTGTTAAAAAAAGTTGTAATAACATAGGATATCTATCCCTCCAATTATCAAGAAATAATCTTATAGATTCCGATTCGATTTTCCAAGCAGAAAAAAATTTAAATTTAAATAAACTAATTGGTGAAGATTTTGTTAAGATTGAAAATAATTTATCCCAATTAAATAATTCATTAAAATTAAAATTATTTATATTATTATAACTACCAATAATTTCTAATTCATTTAAAAATTGACAACTAATTAATAAATTTTCAAATTCTGTGAGACTCTTGGTAAATATTGATAATTTAAGATAACAGAGATTTGGACAATATTTACAAATTGTTCGGATAAGTTTTCCATCATCAACACTTTGATGTAAAATACTTATTTCAATAAGATGTCCTTTTGTACTTTCAATTAAACTTGCTAAAACCTTTGGTGGGACTTGCTGTGCTCTTAAAATTTTTAAAACGGGTAAAGAAACTTTTTCTAAATGACAATTTGTTTCAAGTAATAAATGTGTGAGGCGTAAATTCAAATCTAAACTTACTAAATTTACGAGAGTTGAAAGAAAATTTGTAACAGGATTCCAATCTATTCTCAAATATTGAATAGTATCCGCACATTTAATCAACGATTCTTCAAGTGATTTTCGATATGACTCATTATTAAGATATGAATTATTATAGATTAATTTGACATCTCTTAAATTTTTTTGACCTTCAATTAATTCAACGATTCCAGGATTATCAACATCATTATATCTAATATCAACTCTCAATTTTTCAATTGATGTGCTTATCTTTGCCAATCTTTCTAAAATATTACTGTTGGTATTATCATCACAATAAAAGTATTCAAGTCCTGAAAAACAATGTTCATTCCCTAAAATATTGAATATACGAGGATTAAGTAATTTTGGAATAAAAAGAGAAACAAAATTTGTATTTCCATTAATAAATAATTTAAATATCTCATCTTCTATAATAAAAATTTTGGATTTTACAGTATACGTATCAAAAACATTTATCATATGTTCTAAAAAAAATAAATCCAAATGTCTCCAAAAACTAATATAATTAAATAAAGGTCTTTGATATGGTTTCATAAAAAGGTTTATTCCTTGATATTTCAAATTATTTCTTGATTCTTCCGATAAATGTAAAAGTATTACATTTAATAAAATATTATAAGCGTTGTTGGTTGAATAATATTGTCTAGCGGGATTCTTCCATAAAATCGGAACGGTTGTTTCACACCAAGTTCTATTTACTAAAAGGCATGAATAAAGTGACTTATTATCATCTTGTAATTCTTCTAATATTAAAAAAATTACGTCTTTATTAAGCTTCAACATTTTTTTTTAAATAAATAAAAAAAAAAAAAATTAAATTAACTGGTAGCCTTTATTATCTCTATTATATAGGATGGACGGCGTAAAGTGTGCAACGTGTAACAAAGTTAGTTATTTTGGAAGTAGTACATTATTTATGCAGTGTGTAAATCATTAACGGAAATTATCGGCTCATGTTTCATAATTTAATATCTCCATTTTTCATACCCTTAGAAAAAAAAAAATCATATTTGGCCCACTACTTTTTACACGTATATATAATAAAATGTTATTTAATGTCTGTTACCGTTACTATTGCTGTTGCTATTAATGCTGTTCTAGAGATTGAAATTGATTAATAAGCAATTGATCAACCTGTTTAATTTAACCGAATATTGACCCGTTAATTTAAACGAAAATTAACCCATTAATTTAACCGGTCATTATTTAACCGAAAATTTTAAAATTTTTTAAGAACTCCTTTAAATTAATTCATTTTGTTCACACTTTCTAATAAGTTATACATATTAATTAAAATAATTAAAACATTAAAACATTAATTTATTTATTTTTCAAATTTATTTTAGCAGTTTAATTACTTCATGTTTAATAAATAATTTATTGTATGTAACAATTAACAATTAAAATGTCGTGAAAAAAGCAAGTTTTTTGTGACACTCAATCTCAAATCTTATACAACCAATTGATTTTTAATCAAAGCTTATGTGATTCTTGGTCCTCTACTTTATATCTATAGTTGTTCTACCTTTCTATAATTTGAATATTTTTTAAATCAAAAGGCGTGGGCAAGTCCCGGCTGATGATGATCATTGCCGATATCACATGAATATCATGATCAGCCACAGCGGCACAGCCCCGTATTCCGGAAGTGAATTTTTTTGGTATGAAATTTGTACATATGTTTAAACAAGCTAAAGACTGGTCCTAGGACGAGGTCCGGGTCCAGCAGTCCTATATATATTCTTCTATTTTTACTTTTTTTTTTTTTTATAATTAAATATTATAATTAAAACGATTCCTATTTGTACATGAAGTGTTTCAAACACAGATATCCAAAAAAAGTAAATTTCTATATCGATCATTAATGTTGGGCAGAACGAAAAAAAAAACAAACAAAGTTTTAAATAAAACCAAAATTGAAATCCAAAACCAACTTTGACGCTTTAATTAAACTTTCAGAACAGACTAAAATTACTCACTGTATATGTTTCTTTTAATAAATATAACTAAAAATTTTTTTTTTACAAAATTTTGTTATATAATCACGTGATATATGAACAAAGAATTTCATGACCACGTGACCATATGAAACCAATTGTCTTCCCTGTGGATTTTAGAAATAAAAATAAAAAAATTTTGAAATTTTTTGTTCGTTAAAAAAATAATCAAGATTGTTTCATGTACTGTACACGTAATGGACGTAATGGACATAATAGACTCGACTAGCCAGCATTAAAATTTCGGATTAATAATTTCACTGAAAAATACTGATTATGCACTATATTTACGCAAAACTTTTTTACTTTCATTCATCCCTCTTTCACCTTTACTACTCTTGTCGTCTCTTACCATCCAACCTTTCACTCTTTTCACCATTTTTTCTATCATTTCTCATCAGTATTTTTTTATTATGTTGCAATTTCAATTAATTCAAGGAATGCTTTAATCAATATAACAAATCTTCTGATAAAAAAAATAAGTGCTTGTTAACTTTTTTTTAATTTTCAATTTATAATAATATTAGTATTGCATGTAAAAACATTGGTAACGTGGTCAATTTTATTAGTTTCAACTTATACCAGCATAAAATATGTATTTTATATTAGATCCAAGTCTTTGAAGTGATTCCAAAAGTTTAAAAAATAAATAATAATAAGACAAAACAGAATGCTTTTTTTAAACACAATTTATTTTAATGAAAAAGACATAGTAAATCGTATACCAATAAAACATTGTAAGTATTCCATATTCAGATATTTCAATCTTAGCTACTAAAACTATCCTTCGCTCAAAATATGTCCAAAATTCCTGCTAAAAATCGTGGTTAATTGATTATATTATTAATGAAACAAGAGTACGACTTGATGTAACGCAAAAATTGATCAGTCAAATTCTCATCTTTAGGCTGTTAATGCTTACAAGAAAAAAAGAAGAAAAAAACTTTCGCTACAAATGATACGGTTGATACGTCAAAAAACGTAAAAAAATTGTAATTTTCAATTATCCTAGCTATAAAAGGATACTAAATTAACCATTTATGACATCAATAAATCAATAAATTCAGCATATTTTGAACTTTTCATATCCATGGAATATTTAATAATAAACTTTATTGTTATAGGTCTTGAATTAAATTTCGAGTTCCTAAAAAGTAGACAGTTTATTAATGTTGATGTAGCAATATATATAGTGTATGTAATGTATACTGGGATTTAATGATAAATTAGCTGTTATAATTTATCAACGTTATTAACCCTGCTTATAGTCTACTTGCACCTCGGCAATAGGATGACTCTAAATTTAGTTAGAATAACTGCGGGTAAGAAAAAAAATATAACTACTGTACTTCAAATAAATTTTCTTATTCCCAAGATATCAAAAATTGAGGCATCATACTATTAGCGATCCTAATGCAAGAACTAGCCTTCAAGTTATGTCTTGAAAACTGAAAGATTCCCGTGAATAAAAAATTTCTCTTTTGGATTGTCTACAACAAGGTGGTTAGGAAAGAAGTAAGACCAAAGAGATCAGGTAAAAAAGGGACCAAAGAGAAAAAACTGCATTTATAAAAAACAAACGTGTTTTACAAGGAAATTTATTAATAATGACTCATATCCTCAATTTCTCATATGAAATTCTGGTTTTACAAACCCTGCGATTGCTGCGTGCCCAATCGAGGAAAAATTGAGCACGATGTTAATATAATAATAGCCAATGTAAAATTTGGTAATTAAATTTAATGCTTTCAATATTTTCTATATTGTTTTCTTTTCAGCAGGAGTGATGATAAATGATACAAACAAAATATTTAACGTCTATGAACTGATAACAATAATAAATCTTTTTTTTCTCCTTGCACAAAATATTGTTACTACTTTCCTTATATAATAATGTTTGGTAAAATATAAAGCTTCAAAAATAAGATAAATATACTTCTACTATAACCAGTAATGTAGTGTTTCTATTATAAAAAAAAAATTATACAATTTTATGTTAGATGGGAATGAATACGAAAGAACAAAACGTTATTAACATTTTATTATAAAATAATGAAACTCATCCATATGACTATATCCACAACATAGTGAAAGGTAGACCGTAAGTAATACAAAAAAGAAAATCAAACGGCTAGTAAAATATTTCGTTAAAGACACCAACGAAAAAAAAACTAAAAAGTATAAAAAGTTTCGTGATTTTTTTCAATATCATTTTGTGAAACAAAATCATGAAACGCAACATAACCTGAAACCAAAAATCCTTTTACTAATATGGTTATAAATTTACAATAAATAAAACGCCCAAACAATTGTAAAGAATGCATAACATTTATCCATAAGTACATGAAAACTGACAAACTTACTATAAGTTATCCTAATAAAATTATTGAATAGTAACGGGAGTTTATTATAAAAATTTTATGAACGGTCCCATCAAACCGATAATATTATTATTTGATAATTGAAACCAAATAATAGTCTAATGAAGCACAATGTGCTTGCTATTAGACTATAATCATCCAATAATACATAATTAAAGTGATACAGTATAATCAAACAAAACCCTTCTTAAAATGAAATATAGCACATAGGTCATTGAAATTACGTTTGAACTTTAAAGTCGATATTGGCGAATTTGCTATCAATACAGCAATACTTCAACGCGAGCCATAATACCATAAAATTCAAAATATTTACATATTTATAATAAATAGTATAAAAAATAAAATAAATATTGTTGATAATATTTCATAAACATATAAACAGATTATGCAAAACCCTTTCCTATTATTAAAAAAAAAAGAATTAATGGTTGTATTGAAAAGAATTTAAGTATTTAACAAAGTGTTTTTCTTTTTTCAATTTTAGTCATTTCATACCAACCGAGAGACTAATATCGAAATGGAAATACACAAACGATCAGCGATCATAAGACATTTAACCAATCAAATGCTCCATTTTTTTTTATGAATTCACGCTCGTTTTTATCATTTGTATAAAATTTTAATAAGTTATATACATGGTAAATGATAAACCAAGTTGATAAAAGATTCAAAAATATTGTTTTAACTTTTAAGCTATTATAATTGTATTCGTTTAATTCCTTATTTTTAATATCAATTTTATTGTGCTTAAGATCTAAAAAGTGTAAGTTAATTAAATAAATTTCATAAAATAAAACCATATAATATTATAAAATAATAGATAAGCAAACTTTATATATTAATTCCTATTTTATTTAATTTTCTACGGCTAAGATATACATATATAATTACTGATGAAAAAAATCAATATAAATGGAATATAATATGGTACTTCATATAATGTAAATGCAATGTATCGACTCAAATCAAAATGGCCAGAAATAATTCCGGTTAGTGTAATTTATTGTGATTCTAATGTAGTGAGTAGTGATTTTGCCACTACACATTTCAACGTGGCTCAAGTAGTCAAGTGTGAATTCAAATAAAGAAATCTTTTTTTAACTCACAAACACATACTGTAAATGATGCAAAGTGTGTGTTTGTTATCTTAAATTGAAAAAGAATTTGAATAAAGCCATAAAAAATTAAGAAAAAAAATTATAATTTGTGACTGATCACATGATCGACATTACTAAGCTTCATTACATAATGATTACATAAGTGATTCAGGCAAATTTTTGTGTTACTGTTACTTGTTACGTTACAGTCGTTACATAATTTACTATAAATAAGATTTTTGTTTAGAAAAAATTTTGGGCTTTTGAAAACAATGTTTTCTCAAAACATATTTTTAGAAAATTGGACCAGTGGAAATGAAAAAATTGATGATTTCATTCAAGAAAGACAATTAAAAATAAATGACTATGATGATGATGATATAAATAATATAGTGTTTGAATGGATACCATACAATCAGTTTAATGAAATTAAAGAGATAGACAAAAATGACCATATAACAGTATATTCAGCAATATGGAAGGAAGGTCTATTATATCGTGATTTGTGTAATAGTTATACAAGAAAAACAAATGAAAAAGTTATTTTAAAATGTTTACATTATTCACAAGAATTCGTTGATCCTTTAATAAATGAGGTATGAAATTTCTTTAAATATTTAAATACTTTATTAATTATATTTACAATCTCTTTATTTACAATTAGGCTAAAAAATGTCTAACAAAACATAAAGCATTTCAAGCATTGTATGGAATATCTCAAAATCCGGATATGGAAGATTATATTTTGGTTCAAAATAATTATATATGGTTCAGTGGAAATGAAAAAATTGATGATTTCATTCAGAAAAGACAATTAATAATAAATGCCTATAAAGATACAGTGCTTGAATGGATACCATACAATCAGTTTGATGAAATTAAAGAGATAGACAAAAATGACCTTATAACAGTATATTCAGCAATATGGAAGGATGGTCCATTGTACCGTAATTACGGAGGACTATGGAGAAGAAGTTCGAATAAAAGTGTTGCTTTAAAATGTTTGCATAATTCGCAAGAATCTATTGATTCTTTAATAAATGAGGTATGAAATTTCTTTAAATGATATTTAAATACTTTATTAATTATATTTACAATCTCTTTTATTTAAAATTAGGCTAAAAAATGTCCAACAAAACATAAAGCATTTCAAGCATTGTATGGAATATCTCAAAATCCAGATACGAAAGATTATATTTTGGTTCAAAATAGTTATATATGGTTCAGTGGAAATGAAAAAATTGATGATTTCATTCAGAAAAGACAATTAGAAATAGATTATAGTGATATAGTGCTTGAATGGATACCATATGATCAATTTTATGAAATTAAAGAAACAGGCAAAAATGACCTTATAATAGTATATTCAGCAATATGGAAGGATGGTCCATTATGCTTAGAGTATGGATGGAGTAATTATATAAGAGATTCAAATAAAAAAGTTGCTTTAGAATGCTTATATAATTCACAAGAATCCATTGATTTTTTAATAAATGAGGTATAAAATTTTCTTGATATTTATATACTATTGATTAATATATTCACAATCTCCTTTATTTATAATTAGGCTAAAAAATATCCAACAAAACATAATGCATTTCAAGTATTATGCGGAATATCTCAAAATCCGAATACACGAGATTTTATTTTAGTTCAAAACAATCATATATGGTTCAGTGGAAATGAAAAAATTGATGATTTCATTCAAGAAAGACAATTAAAAATAGAGGATTATAATGATATCGTGCTTGAATGGATACCATATAATCAATTTTATAAAATTAAAGAAACAGGTAAAAATGGCCTTATAACAGTATATTCAGCAGTATGGAAGGATGGTCCATTATATATGAAGGATAAATGGAGTGATTATAAAAGAGATTTAAATAAAAAAGTTGCGTTAATATGTTTATATAATTCACAAGAATCCATTGATTTTTTAATAAATGAGGTACAAAATTTCCTTAACTATTTATTTACTTTTGATTAATATATTTACAATCTCTTTTATTTATATTTAGACTAAAAAATATCCAACAAAACATAATACATTTCAAGTATTATATGGAATATCTCAAAGTCCAAGTACAGGAGATTATATTTTGGTTCAAAATAGTTATATATGGTTCAGTGGAAATGAAAAAATTGATGATTTCATTCAAGAAAGACGATTAAAAATAGCGCATTTTAATAATATAGTGCTTGAATGGATACCATATGATCAATTTTATGAAATTAAAGAGATAGGAAAAAATGGTTTTGTAACAGTATATTCAGCAATATGGAAGGATGGTCCATTATGCTTAGAGTATGGATGGAGTAATTATATGAGAGATTCAAATAAAAAAGTTGCATTAAAATGTTTATATAATTCACAAGAATCCATTGACTATTTAATTAATGAGGTATAAAATTTCCTTAATTATTATACTTTTGATTAATATATTTACAATCTCTTTTATTTATATTCAGGCTAAAAAATACCTAACAAAAAATAATGCATTTCAAACATTATATGGAATATCTCAAAATTCAAATACAGGAAATTATATTTTGGTTCTTATTTGGACAAGTGGAAATGAAAAAATTGATGATTTCATTCAAGAAAGACAATTAGAAATAGAGGATTATAATGATATCGTGTTTGAATGGATACCATATGATCAATTTTATGAAATTAAAGAAACAGGCAAAAGTGGTCTCATAACAGTATATTCAGCAGTATGGAAGGATGGTCCATTATACAAGGAGTATAGTTGGAGTAATTATACAAGAAATTCAAATGAAAAAGTTGCTTTAATATGTTTACATAATTCGCAAGAATCTATTAATTCTTTAATAAATGAGGTATGAAACTTTCTTTAAATAATTGAATACTTTATTAATTATATTTATAATCACTTTTATTTACAATTAGGCTAAAAAATATCCAACAAAACATAAACATATTGCATTTCAAGTATTGTATGGAATATCTCAAAATCCATATACAGGAGATTATATTTTGGTTCAAAATATATGGACTAGTGAAAATAAAAAAATTGATGATTTCATTCAAAAAAGTCAATTAAAAAGAATGTATTGTGATAACATAGTACTTGAATGGATACCTTATAATCAGTTTAATGAAATTAAAGAAATAGGTAAAAATAGCCTTATAACAGTACATTCAGCAATATGGAAGGATGGTCCATTATACAAGGAGCATAGTTGGAGTAATTGTACAAGAGATTTAAATAAGAAAGTTTCTTTAAAATGTTTACATAATTCGCAAGGATCCATTGATTCTTTAATAAATGAAGTATGAAATTTCTTTAAATATTTAAATATTTTTTTGATTAACATATTTACAATTTCTTTTATTTACAATTAGGCTAAAAAATATCCAACAAATTATAAAGCATTTCAAGTATTGTATGGAATATCTCAAAATCCAGATACAGGAGACTATATCTTAGTTCAAAAAAATAATGTATGGATCAGTGGATATGAAAAAATTGATGATTTCATTCAAGAAAGACAATTAAATATGGAGGATTATAATGATATTGTGCTTGAATGGATACCATATAATCAGTTTAATGAATTTGAAGAGAAAGGCAAAAATGACCTTATAACAGTATATTCAGCAATATGGAAGGATGGTCCATTGTACCATAATTTCTTTCAAGGACTAGGGAGAAGATGTTCAAATAAAGAAGTTGTTTTAAAATGTTTACATAATTCGCAAGAATCCATTGATTCTTTAATAAATGAGGTTTGAAATTTCTTTAAATATTTAAAAATATTTTATTAATTATATTTACAATCTCTTTTATTTACAATTAGGCTAAAAAATATTCAACCAATTATAAAGCAATTCAAGCATTGTATGGAATATCTCAAAATCCAAATACAGAAGATTATATTTTGGTTCAAAATAATCATATATGGATCAATGGAAATAAAAAAATTGATGATTTCATTCAAGAAGTTCAATTAAAACCTAATTACAATAAAGATGATATAGTGCTTGAATGGATACCATATGATCAATTTTATGAAATTAAAGAAACAGGTAAAAATGGCCTTATAACAGTATATTCAGCAATATGGAAGGATGGTCCATTATGCTATAAGGATGATTGGATACGGGGTTATTATACAAGAACTTCAAATAAAAAAGTTGCATTAAAATGTTTATGTAATTCACAAGAATCCATTGATTTTTTAATAAATGAGGTATAAAATTTCCTTAATTATTTATATACTTTTGATTAATGTATTTACAATCTCTTTTATTTATAATTAGGCTAAAAAATATCCAACAAAACATAAAAAATTTCAAGCATTGTATGGAATATCTCAAAATCCATATACAGGAGACTATATCTTAGTTCAAAAAAATAATACATGGATTAGTGGATATGAAAAAATTGATGATTTCATCCATGAAAGACAACTAATAATAAATGATTATGACTATGATGAAGTAGTGCTTGAATGGATACCATACAATCAGTTTAATGAAATTAAAGAGAAAGGCAAAAATAGCCTTATAACAGTATATTCAGCAATATGGAAGGATGGTTCATTATATCATAATGGAGAGACTTGTGGATATACAAGAAATACAAATAAAGAAGTTGCTTTAAAATGTTTACACAATTCACAAGAATCCATTGATTCTTTAATAAATGAAGTATGAAATTTCATTAAATATCTAAATACTTTTAATTATTTATTTACAATCTCTTTATTTGTATTTAGGCTAAGAAATATCCAACAAAATACAAAGCATTTCAAGTATTGTATGGAATATCTCAAAATCCAGATACAGGAGATTATATTCTGGTTCTTAATTGTACAAGTGGAAATAAAAAAATTGATAATTGCATTCAAGAAATGCGATTAAAAATAAATGACTATAATGAAATAGTATTTGAATGGATACCATACAGTCAGTTTAGTAATATTAAGAAAATAGGTGAGGGTGGCTTTTCTACAGTATATTCTGCAAAATGGAAGGATGGCCCCTTAGAATATAATGTAGATAGAAAATTATATAATAGGAATCCAAATAGAGTAATTGCCTTGAAATGTTTACATAATTCCCAAAATATTACTGATAAATTTTTAAATGAGGTATGAAATTTCTTTAAATTAATTATTTATAAGAATTTTCCATTGCAAATGATTTTTTAGACATGATATACTAGTAATTATTACTTACTATAAATAAATTTTACTAGGTTAAGGAATACTCAATAAATAAAAGTAGTAATATTCTTAATATATATGGAATATCTCAAAATTTAGATACAGAAGAATATGTTATGGTTCTCCAATATGCAAAAGATGGAAATTTTAATCATTGGATAAATGAAAATTGTGTATATTTTAGATGGGAAGATAAATTATCTGCATTGCTTAATATTATTAATGGTCTTAAAGAAATTCATCAAAAAAATTTAGTTCATCGTGATTTTCATACAGGAAATATATTATTATTGCATATTATAAATGATTTTAGTAATTGTATATCGATTTCAGATATGGGCTTATGTGGAGAGGTTGATAATATAGATGAAACTAAAATTTATGGAGTCATGCCTTATGTCTCTCCTGAAGTATTAAGAGGAAAACTTTATACTCAAGCAGCAGATATCTATAGCTTTGGTATGATAATGTATTTTGTAGCAACTGGAAAACAACCCTTTTACAATCGTGCACATGATCATTGTCTTGCATTAGATATTTGTAATGGAGTCAGACCTGAAATAAGTGAAACGGAAGCACCAAAATGTTATATCGAGTTAATGAAAAAGTGTTGGGATTCAATCCCAAACAACAGACCAAATATTTTTGAGATAGATAAATTAATCACATCATTTCATATTTCATATAAAAGAGATACTTTCATAGTAGAAAATGAAGAAATTGAAATGCAATTTAAGAGAGAAGGTTTTTTCATAGAAGAAAATGAAGTAATTGAAGTGCAATTCAAGAGAGAAGATTTTTTCATGGAAGAAATTGGAATGCAATTCAAGAAAGCAGAAGAATATAGAGAAGCAAATTCTATATCCACTAAAAATTATCAAATAACTACCCATCCACAAGCTATTTATATATCTCGATTACTTAATTCCTTTACAAAAGATCTTCCAAAATATGATGATGATGACCATTCTCAATGTTTAGACCATGTGATCTAACTCCAGTATGAAATCCAAATAAAGTATATGATTATAAAATTTTGTTTAATAAAATTTATTTACTTATATATATTTGTATAACTTCTATTTTATAATTAATATATAGTTTTGTCCAACACTGTTTATAGTTAGTATGTAAGCGTTTTTTTTTACATAATAAAGTCAGTTTGTAATTGGACATATTAAATATAATATTTTTTCTGATATGCTATGCTTGTGATATTAACACTTAATAAAATAATTCTTCATATAAATTATAAGTGTAAATTTTAATATATTCCAAAATAAAACTTTCTACTTTTTATATTGTAAAAATGTTAAACAAAAATAGCATAACATATCAAAATAATAAAATATTTCATGTGAACTGGGTTTAGGAAAAGACTGGGCTTTTATTGGCGTAATCTTATTATTATGCAACTTAAAACTTAATAAGTAAGATGAGCAATATTTAATAAAAAAATAAATCAACTGAGATATTATATAGTTATCCGATGGAAAAGAGTGAATAACATTATTTTTACTTATGGAGGGTAAATGATTGGCTGAAAATATTAGGCCACGAAGTGGCTTATTCAGCCAATCATTTACCTGTAATAAGTAAAATAATGTAATCATTTTCCATCGGATAAATTTTATATCCGAGAGGCCTCTATGATCATGTTTATCAATAGCCTAAATAGTCTAACAAAGTTTACCTTTTTTTCTTTCTTTCATTACCATTTTTTTTCTTATCATTATTTTCTTACAACTTTATAATGAAAGTCAAAAAGCAACTCCTTAATAAAAATAAATCTACATTAAATAAGGGCAAATATATTATGACATTTAATAACTGTACTTTTAATTTTCCACATTAATTAGCTTATATAATTGATAATGTATATAGATATATTTTATTGCATGTATAATTAATAATAAAATAAATTTCATATTCGATATTGCATATAAAATACTATCGGATAACTATAAAATTTTACTATACATGATCCTATGGAATATCGGACATTATTCTTTTATTTTATAGCTTCTATCAAAGATTACTTCTAAATAAATTATACAACATTTGTAAGTATAATAATCATATTATGTTATTTCCTGTTTATAATAAGGACATGAATATAGGTCAATTTTGGGTCAATTCTGGTGATAGAAATTTAAGAGGAAGTAGAAGAGGGATGTAAATTTACATAATAGTAAATACTACAATTTATATATTCCATACCGAATGTATGATAGTGCAATTCGAAATTTATTGATAAATGCATTTTTTGATATTTTTTTAGTATTCAGTATTATATATATTATGACAAAAATTATAGGAACAAATTAATGTTTAGGTTTTTACCAGACACTTCAAAAAAAAACCTCCAGAAAAGAGTGTTAGAATTGATAATGCAAACTCAAATTTTTTTATCAAGAAGTTTAACATCGTATTATGTATTCTTTATTTCTAATTACTAAAGCCTAATTTTTTATTTAAAATATTAAAAACATATTCACTTAAAACAGCATTAATATCTAATAATAACTCATATAGTATTTGGCCTTCAAAAATACCTAAATAAGGTAGAAATTAAATTCGCATTAAAACTCCTCTTGAACAGTACCATCATAGCAAGACAATTGTCAAGAAGAAATTTATTGGTTGCCAACATAAGTATGATATCGTCACAATATCAAAATGATATTAAAAATAATATTTAATTTATGGATTATATAATAATAATATTCCTTTTAATAGTGAAATAGAGAAGCTAACAGTGATATACAGTAAAGTACAATTATATAGTACATTTTAATTTTTCCATCTTTGCCTTAGTTTTTCCTCTTCTTTTCCTAGGTTATTTTATTCCTTATAATATTTTAATATTTAATTCTCTTTCAGGTTTTCTAACTTTCCACTTCCTAATTGGTTCTTACCTTCAGACTGATAAATATGCATTTTGCAATTTTCTCAATCCAATAGCAATAAATACCTAATGAAGAAAATTTTTTTTAATATTACATCAATTTACAAAGGAATTTTATAAATAAAGAATTTAGTTAGTTTAAATTATATGCAAATATTATATATAACAGAATTAATAATAATAACAATTACAATTTTCAAAATAAATTATTGTAAATATTAAATGTTATCTTAAACAAATTTATCCACATTTTTCATTTAAATAATGACTTAAAGAGTTAAGAACAATGAATTTTCCTTTTATTCAATAATAAAAAATACTAGCTGTCTGAGTAAAAAAAAATAAGATTAAGTTAATTTTAAAGATGATCGTTCATTTAATAATGATTTTTTGCCCAGGGTCACAGGATTAAATTATTAATAATAAGTCATAAAAAATTTGGATGCAAATTAAAACTGGAATGAATTCAATGTGGTTGCATATCTATTAGACAATTGAAAATGAGTAAATGAGTATTAAATTAAAGATTGATTTTAACTATAAGTTCAATAAGTTAATAGTTGTACCTCATATGTCAATTTGCATCAGTTGATAATTGACGTGCATCAGATGTTCAGATGTTAATTGAAATCTGACGCGCTTCACCTGTATCGCACAATAAAGTCTTTCTCAGAAAACACTTTTTTTATGAATGAAGATTTTATATATATTTGATTTATGTAAATTTACTTGAAAAAACTTGTAATTTATAATTAATTTTGAATGAGTTAATTTCCATGAATTTGAGACTAATCAGTCTGATACTTTTTTTTTTAATTTTGTGATAAATAAATTAAAAAGTTTAAATTAATAATATTCAAATTTTCCCAATTCTCAACAATTTGAAAGTTTTGAAATATTCGATTAATTTATTAAGAAAAAAAAAAATATATGAATAATAAAATTTTTACATATCATAAGCAAATCTTTCGTATTGTTGCAAGACGTACAGTATTTATGTATTTGAAATCTGAATTCAGTTCTGCACCGTATAATTCTGGTAAATATTAAAATTATTTATTAATTTATTATTTCTGTATTTAAATTTTTAATATTAGCACTCACTATTTAAATTTTTAAAGAAATTAAAATGAAATAATTGAAATGATATTTTAGGCTACTATTTTAAGAATAGTGGAAAACCAGATATTTTTGATTTTAAAAAAAATTTTAACCAATAAAAAATAATGGGTCCGAATGACTTTTTGAGAATATTATGTAAAAAAAAAAGATAAAATATAAAAAGAATTTAATGGTAGAAATGAAAGAAAAAAAATTTTCTCTCCAATTAATATACACATATATCTATTTAAAATTTGATTAAAAATTAGAATAAAAAATATGAGAATAAAATATGGGATTAAAATATGAGTGGAATAAAACAAAAAAAGAAAAAAATATTATATAAAAAAAATTAATTCCAAATATCATGATATGTGATTTATTTTAATAAAATTACAAGATTTTTATAAGCTTATAAAAGTCAGTGAGCTAGGATTGAATTAGTCATTACTCACTAAATTTTATAAGCTAACTAGTGTACTTTTGGATATAGTGAGTGAGTTTATTTTTGAAAGTATACTAATAAATTAATAAAAGATTTTTTTATAACAATAGATTGTGTTAGTGAGATTTATAAAAAAATTTAATGAGATTTTTTTTTAATAATAGTTTGGTATAAAAAAATTTTCTATGATTTTTTTTTAATAACAATATATTGGTAATAAACAATTAACTTATTAACTGAAGTTAATAATTGTTTTTAGTAAGATTTTTTTTATAGTTTACAGTAACACTAATATTACTGATAAGTAATATAAATAAAACAATAGATTACATTTAATAAGGTTAATAAAAAAATTTTCCAAGATTTTTTTAATGGTATAGTACAATAGATAGATATAATAAAATTTTCTGAGATTTATATTAATAACAATAGGTATGCTAAATTTTTGGTGATTATATTTTTTTTAATAACAATAATAGATTGGTATCATAGTACAATGGATGGTATAGTACAATGGATTGATTTAATAAAATTTTTTGTGTTTTTTTTTAATAACAATAGATTGGTAATAGACAATAAAAAATGTTGCAAAAACATTAAAAACTGAACTGATAATGAATTGGCAAATCATATTGGTTTTC